TTCCAAAAGCATATTTATAAAAAAAAATACATTATCTCTACATAGAGGACAAATGCTTGTTAAATATTTATTTGAGAAAACTAAATAAATAAAAATAATTTTGGAATACTACATAAAACACTACAATTCCTTTCTATGCTAATTTACAAATAATTAATTTTAGCATATTTTTAAAGATAAATCCTAGAAGGTTTCAGATTCTCCACCTGTTTAAATTATTTTAAATGATTCAAAAAACTGAAATTTTAAGGTTACTAAATCAACACTTCTAAAGAAATAAAATAGAAGACCTAAAAGCAACATGCAAGAAACATTTATCTTACTTTTGCAAAAATATTCTCATTCAAAAGTTAAACGGAGACCACAGTGAGCTTCTTTGTAACTAACATCCATTCCAAGAGCGCTTATGGTTTAATTCTTTGCGCTCCTAAAATTTCCAATGAAGACTAATACTTGTCTCTAATTTTGAGAGTTCACACAGTTTTTCTTAATAATGAACAAATTATTTCTCCAGGCAGAGTGGAAACATACATTTCCAATCTCAAACTAGGTGGGAGTACTTTCTGAATACTAGCACAAAATAAGTAATGCAAATTTTAAGCTGTACAAAAATGCAAGTTCCAGAAGACTAATTAGTCAACATAATTGCCAAAATGTTGAAGTCTTACATCACTTACGTTACACAAATGGCAATTATACTAAAAAAACAAACAAATGTAAGTCTATAATTCAAGAAAGAGCTGCAACAAGTTAACTCTAAAAATAAAAATAAAGGGATACATGAGCTTTCCAGAATACCAATATGAAACCAATCCATAATAAAGATCTGGACCAAAATTAATATTTCTCTTGTTTAACATTGGATGATCTTTAATATAACCGAACATTCACTGAATTGTATGTACAATATAAATAATCATTCATCAAGAATAAAGAAAACTTGTACAGAAATTTACAAAACAAACATAACTGTCTACATACACATACAAACTAACTGACCAATTTACTGATATGACACATTACACAGCAATGTACGAGGTAACATAACTGAATATTTTTCAACACTTCAGTAACAATAAAAAAAATGTTTTAAATAATATTCACATGCAAAGGTACATGTGGGCATGGCAACTATATGGCATTCAGTTTTCTTAGTAGATGCGCAAGAAGCAATCATCAGAACTGACATTTACAGAAATTTGCATATAACTATCAAAGAATATAAAAAAGAACACATTCAGACCTTTCAATGGATTTTGAAACCTTGTTGCTGCAACAAAGGTGTAAATACTGCTATTACCATCTGGTTGTTGAAAATTAAGAAAATGAGATTCAAGCGAAACCCAATTTTAAGATTTGAGAAAGTAAGTCTTAATCATAAATAACCCTTTATATGCATAATATATGCATGAAAAACAGTCAGATGTCCTTCCACAAAGTTCTCTAAACCTTTTTCACTGGTTACAAAGCAAATTTAGGCAATACGAACTTGCATTACATTGTACATCCTTCCATACTGAAGTATTTTTAAGAAATTCAGAATATTAAGGTTTGTGAATTTGATATATGCTACATGAATAGTAAATATTCATATTTTTCAATAATTAAGAAACAAACTATCAAAACAATTGACCATTTTCCATCCATATTCACACATAAAATATTCTAACGTTGTCATGTTACAAATAAAATTATAAATATTTTATTGACAACAAATGTGGGCGATATTTGACACAGAATCTTTTTAAATATGTGTTTCTTAAAACAAAAGAAACAAGTCAACAAACTCAAATTATTAAGTAAGTTATAAACATTAACAATTTTCACTTAACATAGCAGCGTAGTTTTTCCGCCCATAGATTGGTGGCTATGTCAGTAAAAGCCCAGAAAAAACCAAACAAGCAAGAAATATTCCTGGTATTTTCTTAATATACTATAAAAAATCTAAATAATACAACTCCAATAAATAATTCAGCTCTGTAATAAAAAAAAATGGAACACAACAGGATACAAAAAACAGTCGTGTGTGTATACTTGTAAATGTCAAGTTATAAAAAAATAGAAAACTCAACAATTAATTTTTTTACATATATACAGAACACAATATTGCTACTCCTCAAACAGCCAGAAGCAATGAACAAGCTTGGCCCCCTGATATAATAGTGTCTGCAAGCAAAATCTGTACAAAACTTCCTTATGCAATACACAGCACAATATAAGTAAATAAAATAGGTGATGTTATTTACATATCACAAACAAAATATATCATGAGATTTACAACTCCAACAATGCATGTTGATTACATGCAATTCAAAATATTATTTCAATGCATGAAGTTGAGACTGAGCTGATTGTGAGAACCACCAGGAAAAAAAGAAAAGGAAAAACAGACAAAAAGAAAGAGAGAAAAGCAAGCAATAAATCCATCAACTTAGGTCAGCATCTCCAGAAAGATGAACTTCAAAGAAAATTAATGCTTTTAGCAATAAACCCAAGAAATTGTGAAACTGTAAAAGACTTCTTCCAATATATGTTCAAGACTAAATTATTCTTAAAGATTATGTTCAAGACTTGAAAAGTGCACCCTTGAAAAATGGATAAGCAGCACAAAAGAATACTTCCATTTACAAAATATTATCAATAATAAATCATCAATTTTTCTTTGGACCAGCTCTTTGAACAACACACTCCATTTTGGCAGCACAATAGAAAATTAATTTACAGACCATTTCTGACAACTGTCAAATTTGAACACTTTGTTAACAATTACAGTTTGCATCCCAATGCAATTCACATCGAAAGTAAAATTAACAGAGCGAGATGAAATAACCACGAGGAATATGAAACAAATGTAATATAAACCACCAAAAGAATATAAACCAAATAAGAAGGAAAAGGTCTACTAATCACGAAAAAGGGTTCTATTTTAACAATATTTTAGGTCAAATGTATCACTGAATTCATAAACTTTTAGTGTTCCACAATCCATATTTGGAAAAGGAAAAAATGAAGAATCAGCTTAAAATAAAATAAATTCCAAAACTCAGAGCCTATAGTTTAGGCCATTCACATAGAAGCTAACAAATGCAGTTAGATTATTTAAGAGATGCACAAAAGGCAATGCCATTATGACAAAATAACAATAAACATTCTTATATAAGGCCACATAAAATTGTAGGCGCATACAGAAACAATTTGCATCATACATTTTTTTATTTTCTATGATCCCATTTTTACGTAAAATGAATTATTTGAAAAAAAAAAAGTTCTTATTGCTAGATGGAAATTTTAATTAGAATCTCAAAATGTTTCATTGCTCAAATGTAGAATTCTTGTCCCAAAGAGACCACAAGCACCTGGCTCCAACCCATCACATTTTTTCAAATATATTTTTTACATCCTTAAAATATGATACAGAATTATAATGGCAGTGAAAAAATAATTCTCACTTTCATTTTATAGATCGCAAGACTACATGGAATTGTTTGTAAATATTGTCTCTTTCCAATTCTACAACTATCAAGGCAACTAAGTAGAATTTTTAAATAAGTCGATGTGTAATGAAACTCTTCTACGAAGTAAGAATATTTCCTGCACTTCGAAGAGTGCTTTTTTACATAGATCATTAAAGACTTTTTGTATGCCCATGCTCTGACAGTTTAAAATAATAGCAACAAAATAAGATACTATAATAACGAATAACAATAAAATAAAATATGAAGAGAAAAACAAAGGTGCACAAAAATACAAACCAACATGGTGTAACATCACATACATTTGAATACTTCATATTTGTATTAATGTAAAGGAAATTACAAAAACTGTCAAAGCTGGCTCTCTAAAGAAAATATTCATAGTGCAAGTAGAAGAGGGAACACGTGGCTAGGCCAGCATTCTGCCACACAGCTACAAAGCAGCAGCCAGATGCATGACTCTGTCACAGCCTTTGTTACATTTCTTCATGAAACTGGCACTGCTGAGACAATTGTGTTTCAGGCATATAATGTTTTGGCCTTGATGACAAGTGTGTAGTTAACATTTGATAAATATGCATGTATATAGAACACATTTAGACATACAACCAGGCATAAATTACCTGGATATACACACAAAGTACTAAAAGGATAGGGTCTTTCCACAACATTAAAAATGTGCACATATGCACTTAAAGGCTATAAAAAACTAGTATTTATACATTTTGTTATATTTGTGTCCCCTACCAACTTAATAAAAAATTTGAGACTTCTGGGTTCCATCATGTAGAATGTAGACGTCTGTATGTCTCCAACAGATCATTCGATGGATTACAGAGGTAGGCAGTGGCTGCAGAGGAAACATGAATAGCCATGGTAGGATTGGCAGAACTGCCAGTTACCCCAGGTGCAACATGTTGCAGAAGACCAGGGGCCAGAAGGGGAGAACTTGGCAATGTCAATGGAGTATTATGAGTTAAAGCCAAAGGGTCCAATTGGACAGTAGTTGGTTGTGGAGGTTGAGGAGGGGGCTGAGATGCCTGCTGTTGTGCTGATTCATCTTGGTGCTGTTGCTGGTGTGATTGCTGCTGCTGTTGTTGTTGTTGTTGTTGTTGTTGTTGTTGTTCTGCCTGTTGAAGAGCCTGCTGCTGTTGTTGTTGCTGTTGTTGTTGTTGTTGTTGTTGTTGTTGTTGTTGTTGCTGTTGAGGTGACTGGGGATTGTGACCTGTGGAAGCTGAGGTTGCCACTGCTACAGTGGCTACAGCTACTGTTGTAGGTCCAGCTGTATTTACTGTAGAGGCAGACACAAGGCTTGAGTCACACGGGACAGCCAGAGCAGCTGTACTTTGTCCTGAGGTGGTAGCAGTTTGTGATGTGGGTGTAACGGATACAGCAACCACAGGTTGAGATGGAGATGCGACACTTGGTGCGCTTACAGATGGGACAACAGGTATGGCATTAACTAAGTTAACTGTGTTCGATGCACTAGCAGCATTTGCTCGAGCTCCTCTACTTCTGTGCCTCTGTTTGTGTGTAAGAAGGTATTGTTTCATAGCAAAACCCTTGTTGCAAATGTCACATTTGTAAGGAAGTGGATTTTCAAGAGATGCTGCACCTACATCATCATTTACTGAACCTGAACATGAGTGACTGCTCTTATGCATCACATAGTTGTGTTTCACAACAAAAGATTTACCACAAGATTCACATATGTAAGGGCCAGCTATACCATGGGTTTTACGGTGTTTATGAAGATTGTCTTTCCGAGAGAAAGATTTGCCACACATTTCACACGCATGTGCTTTCTGTCCTGTATGAGACACTGTGTGCCTCACCAGGTGCTCTTTTCTTGAGAACGCCTTGCCGCAAGAGGAACAAACATATGGCCGCTCACCAGTATGTAGTTTACGGTGTTGAAAGAGATGTTCTTTTCTCTTAAATAATTTGTTGCACACATCGCAAGAAATAGTTCCTCCACTTAAACCACCTTTGTCTGGGGAAGTGTCTGCAATGGGGTCTTGATTGCATGGTGCATGGTTTTGTAGTTCTTCCACATTAGTAAATGCTTTTCCACAACGCATGCATGGGCGAATAGGAGAAGTTGGTAGTTCTACTACAGAGGCTTGTACTCCGTTATCAACAATGTTAGCACTTTTCATCCGCAGGAACTCTCCGATTTGAGCAATGGAGGATCTGAAACAAGTAAAGGAAGGAAATGTGAAATTTACATCATTATGAAAATCCGTTTACACAATATAAAGTAAAAAATACAGTCGGTAACCATTAAAATAAATTGAATATGATGAACGTTTTCCATTTTCTATTTCATCACTTCAGAAATCATTGCACTGTAAACAATGGGCAGAAATTACATCCCAAATAACAGTCATTTTATCTACTTCTTTGACCTCTACCAGAGGAAAAATGTTGCACTTTCATTATGCTTACAAAACTAGTTCACAAACCAGTCTGAACTCACCCTTGGCAGCACACATAAGGTCTTTTACATAATACTTTAAAAATTATGTAACTCCTTTTATGTATTAAAACATGTTTTGTTTGTTTTGAATATACAACAGTACCTTTGTAAGGCAGTTTGCTCCTCTGTACGCAAGACACCATCGCGTTCCTGTTTAAAGCTGAAATGCAATAGCATTTCCTGACCTGGAACAGCTGCAGCAAATGCAACAGATTGCAACTGCTGCTGGTGAGAGCCCACCTCTCCCTCATCACTACTGTCAGCTGATGTCTGCGAGACAAAAGCACAGATGCACAAACATCGCCAATAAATCAGACTTACCCATTACATATAACAAAGGCTATGTAATAGTAATAATGGATGTGAGTATCAATACACAATTTTGAAAAACAAAACCCACAGTTTTAATTCAACAAAAAGACAGCTATTAACAACGAAACAAATTTTAAGAAATAATCGTGTATGTAAATACTTATAAAATCAAGACTAACACCTAACTACTTTCACTAACATATTGTCGCTTTTCCAGAATACTGTTGTAACTCAAAATAAGTAAAGATTGAATTTTAAAGGTGAATTGGTAAAATATACACACAATTTTTATATCTTTGAAATTACACCAATTGTCACTTGGTGGCAGATGCACTGCTATTTCATTGGCAGAGATCATTTCTTTTTAAGGAATAATGACGCCCAAAAATTGTTTAAGGAAATCCAATTCAATATAATAATAACCAAGTGACAAACATTTTTCTATCGTACAAGGCGATATTACTTATTGTTGTTTAATGGAAAGAAAATTAGGTCCTGGAAAAATTAAATTGCGCTCTCTTACTTTTTGGCGGGTGGGGGGTAGAACAGTATTTCAGAAAAGTGAAGTTATGTTAACTGTATCAAGAGGCTGTTTCTTTATACCTTTACAATAACTTCGGCCCACCAAGTATACCAGTGTAATAAAATTAACTTCAAATCTATACAAATGAACTTCCAGCATCAAGAAATTTTCATTCTAGTTTTTTTTTCCACAGTGTTTTATTATAACATTAACTTTTGAAGAACGACGAGAGTCAGCAAGACTACATCAACACATTTCTTGGAGTGCAAAATCTGCTAAGAGAGATGACAACTAGTTTGTCCTATCTTAAGGATTGAAATACTTCTGACTGGCATTTCCTCTCATCGCATTTAAATTAATTCAGAAATTTGTTTGTAAAAATATCATGAAACTAGTATGAAATGAAGAAACATTGTAGACTGATAGCAATACACAAGTAGCTATTGTATCTTCAACACACACTTAGAACAACTGCATTTATTAGTTTATATAAGTGACCTGCTTGACAATTCCAAGATCACTGGACTCTTTTTAGTCTGTTTCCTTGTGTCTTGCATGCCAGCTTATGTTTACAAGAATTTGGAATGCTATGTGAGAGTGCAATATTAATTTCACCTTTTTATGTAATATATTTACGTCAACAATTTAGAAATATTTAAACTATAATACAGTAAAAAATACAAAAATGACACACATGGTTCATAACTACTAATTTTCAAAAACAAATGTGAAAAATCAAAAGTAAAAAACAGAGGGGAAAATTCAAACAATTCAGTATTTTCTAAAAGTTTAATTCTGCAAAGATATAAGTATATAAGCCTTATACACACCTGATGATGTCGAGTAATCCCATTATTCTTGAAGTCTGTTTCATTACACTGTGTACTACCATCTTCCAGTTTAGTTTGGTGTGTTTCAACAGAAGTTGCAGTGGTAGCACTTGGACTTGCATCACTTAAACGTGGGCTGGAGGGTCCACATGCCTCATACGCATAACGGGGGTCTGTCGCAGTGGAGGTAGTTTCCATCACAGTTGCGCCTGGAGTGCCAGCTGGCATCTGAGACAAAACATTCCTATATACAACATACACAGTTTAATACATTTATAAAAAATTATGAAATGTGAACAAAATTACAATTTTATTCTCTACCTTTGAGGTAGAGAATAGAGGTACCTAATATGGGTAAAACAGTAAAAATATTTCTTTTAAATAATTTGTTTTAGAGCAGAAATATATTGCACTCTGAAGATATGAATGCCAAGTTAAAATTATTTTCACATATTACATAAATAATACATAAATATCCCTGGAGGTGACAGCAAAACGGTATTACATGCATTATTTTTTTATTTTTTAAGAAACTGTTACCACAATGTTCAGAACATTTTTTGATGATTTTACGTCTGATGATCTATTTGAAAGTAAAAATTAAAGTTTGAATTAAGTGTTTTTGTAATACCACATTTGAAGATATTCTAAATTGTGATAATTCAAAAATATTTTGAATATAATGTGCGTTCTTGCCTAAAATAATTGAATGTTAAGGGTGTCAAATTTTTTAAATATTTTAGACCTCGGGAATCAATTAATTTGAGATTTTGATAGATATCAAAAGAAATAGAAAAAAAAATTGTATTGCTATATAAGGAGTTACCTTGACTAAAGTTGGGAGTAAAAAATTACTAGTAGTAAAGTGCACGTGTAATGTCAGACAGAAAAACATGTGTTAAATTTTTGTTTCAAAATTTCAGTATCCAACATTTTACAGCAGTTTCCAAACATCTGCACTTTTTTTCTTGCTTCATTGAAAGAAAAATTGAAGAAGTTTTTGAAGATGCCACCACAACGTTTATTCTTTCACACTTCTAACATTTATTGACTAACCTGCATGGCACATTTGTACTGCTGTACACGAGCAGCATCAACTTCGCTAACAATCTGGATTCCAGCAGCTTGAACAAGGCTACTTAGACCATCTGGAGCTGCTATGACTGCTGCTTTATGATTGTTCTTGGCAATTTCAATTTCATTGGGTTTCTTCTTAGGAGGACTGCCTTCTTTCACATATACCTGCAAATAAAATAGCCATCAAACAAATTTATGAAATATAATAATATAATAAAAAGTACAGAGAAGTTATTGTTTGTTAATATGCAAATTTTTAATAACGTCAATAATGAAATTACATTCAATCATTGGCTCAAAAAAATATATCAACGTTTTTTATTTTTACCTTTCCTTCTCTGCTCAAATCGTCAGAATACCGTAACGATGTAAAATAGCTCTCAAGCATTGATTCAGCATTCACACACGATTCCCTGAAGTCATAGAAGCTTTCAAGTTTTTCCACACAATGGCTACAAATGATCTTTGGCAATGAATCATCTTCACAAACCTGTAATGTCAATAAAAAAATAAAAACAAACATTTCAAAGCTCATCTGCACATAATTTTCCAAGTTTTCAAAAGTAAATATAAGAGGTTTCGAGCCACTTTCAAATCTACAAAATAAAATTTAAACTACATTTCTATTCAATATGCCTTTTTGTCTTTTGTCAACATATGAAAAAGCTACTGTCCTCATAAAAACAAAATATTATCAATATACAAATATATTTATTTTTTTATTATGATATTCAAAGATTTTGTTAGGCTCGATGATTATTTCTTTAATTACTAATTTTGAATTATCACATAATATTTACAACAGGATTTGTAAAATATTTAATATTATACAGTTAATAACTCCACAGACAATGACAGGCTTGTAATAACTATTCACATATGTTGTGTTATTAGATGTTCATTGAAAACTGAGTTGTATCAGCAAACTTCTTTCATTAACACTTTAGTTGTCAAAAACCTATACACATTATCTAAGCAATTACCTTAAGCAACTATAGATTTGTTACAAGTTATAAAGAAATATGTCCAAAAAAACGACGGGATGTCCTTATCAAGAAATTATCAACAATTTTTTTTAAAAACTAGACATGAAAATACAGGAGGTAAAACATGGGCATCAATCTGTCAAATTGCCCAAGAAATTTCAAAGAGAGGAAAACACTGCCATTGAAAACAAAAAATATCTATGATTCATAGCTTCAACAAAATCTTTACTCAATACAACAAACAAATTATTTTTGCATAATTAATTGTATGTACAGAATAATACCTGTACAGGTAGACAAATCTGAATCTTTGTAGGAAGTTGTCTTCTTCGCCCTTCTTCTCGGAAAATGTGCATCTTTGTGCCTTCACTTGACGTGCAAAGCCGACAAAGTTCATAATAATTTACTCTTCTGTAACCAGCCATTGTCAGGAGGACCACGAAAATTACAATCAAATTACACCTTCCATGTATCTTACCACTTCACATTAATTCCATCGATTCTACAGTCGATCAATCGAAATTTGGTTTGACGCGTTGACGTGTTAGCGACAGTCAGATACCACGCACAGAGCGCGCACCAGTCGATACTGTGTTCTCATCTTCGAGTTTCAACGTATGTTTACTGCCATGAAATAACGCATTTCTATACATAAACCCTACTAAGAAGCTCTTAGCGGCTTATTTATGGTAAAATCGGTTTGCCTTAAAGAAGCTCACTCTCATAACTAGTTATTAGTTCGAATTTTAAAAAAACAAAACTATTTTGTACGAAATCACTATTACTGAAATAAGAGAACTGCTTCATCCAGGTAACTACCATTAGTGTTTTATTCATTTATTCCCTGCTGTAATTTGTTTCTTATAATCAGTAATTTGCGAATGTAACACCAAGAAAAACTGAAGAAATAAAATAATCGGGACAAAACTTGAATGAAAAATAAATTATATTTTTCAATAGTCAAGCATTTTATAACGGGACGACACACCTAATATGCGAAAAAATTAAGAAAAATTACGAAAGAATGACGAAGGTGATGGGTATAATAAAGACACGAAAGACTAGTATTATCTCATATATTTTGTCACATGAAATACAAGCAGGTACAAGTTGCTGCGGTACAAATCGGACGCTGGGAGAGCCGGGTCCACTTCAAGAGCAGAAAGGTGCTGTCCCTCAGAAAGGCGGTCTCGTGGATGACGCTGCAAAGGAAGAGTCCAGAACATGAAGGCATTTTCAAGCGGCTCGATAAATATTGGCGGGCACGTATGTTAAGCTCTTTGCAATAAGTCTAGTTTATGAGGACATGAAATACTGACTACTTTGCTCTAAGAAATTAAGTTAAAAAAATAACAGCCAAGTGAACAGACCCCGATCCACAACACTAAGTATTTGCTGAAATCAATTGTATTTTATTTCCTTTCCAAATTCTCACCATAATCGAGTACTATTCAAACAAGCAGTAATACTTTCAGAATTCATCTCAAATCTGAAAGATTATTTGAAGAACCATTTTTGCAGTGGCGGCTTCAAGAGAGAGCCATGAGGGAGTCATGTCCCTCAAAGCTAACATTTTCACTTTCTCGCTACCTCATACGCAGTAGAAAGTTATGAAATGCGCGAAAAACTGCGGATTTTCGTCAGAAAAACCTCTTATTACATGACCCTGGTAACGAAAAACTGGATAAATCCAGTTGTTAAATTTAGAGGAAGGCGGAATCCTCCAACATGTGGTGTAGACAGAATTCATGTTTTGTAGGTCCTTGATACGGAAAAATCTAATGACGGCAAACCGTCCGCCCGTAAACAACGCTAGCGGTAAGACCGTTCAGCCTATTTCTCCAAAACAGATACGTTTTCGCGTAATTGTAGATTGAAGTGAAGGTCATTTATAATTTATAAAAAATGTCTTATAAACTGATCCAAATTTTTCCTTTAATTGTTTTCCTCGGATGGAGCAAAGGACGCTCAAAATAAATAACTCATTGACTTAACTTCATTGACATTTAAATTTTCGAAAATGCATAAATTAGAAGTAATGCGGGAGAATGTGCATGTAGCACCACTAGTTATTTTCTTCTGGCAAAGTATCGTAAGAAAGTGTCAATGAGTTTATGAGGAGTTTTGTGTTGTTAATACGATAATTCAATAATGATAGTCTTTTCAGGGTGTACTGTTCTTGGAATCATCTCCATTACTTGAAATTATTTGTTAAAAATACATTATATGGGTTGGGGGATTTGAACTTTCTAATTAATGTATTTTGAACGAAATAATTTAGTTCTTGTTTGTCGTATTTTTCCAAGAGTTAATTTTATTATATCTAAAGAACTGATTTAAAATAGTTCATTTTTATTTCATTTTGAAAAATTTATTTCTCACGATCTAACAAACTGATTACTGAAATATAACAGATATAAGAGCACATTATTCAATTATGGCAAGGTTTATTCACTAATTTAATAGGTATTAATTGTAGTATTTTTTCGTACTATATTGCAGTGCGTGCAATTTAAAAAAATTACAATAACATTTTCTCAAAAACAGCTCAAAATTCTTTTTAAACTTTTGGTAGAAATAGTGCTAAACGTACTCAATAAGATGACATATTGCTCTGTTCCTTTGCTTTTCAAAAATTACAAAAATGTAATGTTTTTGACTGGTCTCTCGCGTCATTAGTAAGTAACTCAGTTTTCTGTAAAAACTAGCTCAAAATTCCGAATTTTCTGAAACGCTCAAACGCCATTTTCTCAATAACAGCTCCATTTTTTTCAAACTTTCCGAACAGGTAGTGCTAATTGCACTCTTTAATATGCCGTAAAGTTCATTTCGTTTTTTTCCCTTCAAAAATTACACTAATGTAATTTTTTGAAAGATTTCTCACGCCGTAAATATGCACATTTCCAGCCATTTGTAAACACTATTGTATTTATGAGTTAATGTACGTACTTCAGATGACTTGTAATGACGTTTTTCGAAAACTTTCATTTTCTGTGAAAATGAGTTTTAATTTTGAATTTACAGTAGCGCTTAAGCGCCATTTTCTTAAAAACGCTTCAAATTTTGCAAAGATATTTGCAATTTAAGACAAGATTTTACTGTTCTTTAATATCCATAAAATAATATTTCCGCTCTACAATTAAAAAACCGAAAAATTAAAAAAGTCCCCCGCAAGAAAGGGGGGCGCAACTCACGGAGAAGAGGTAATTAAATTATTTGTTAGATAGTGAGAAATCATTTTTCAAAATTTTGGAAAAATGAACTAGTTTGTAAATTTTTTATGATTTTTAACATTTAATTTTTCTAATTAGGAACCTTTCTCGTTATTTTTAATTAAGATTTTTTCTTTCTTTTTAATGAAATAGATTAAGTTTAACACTAAAAAAATACTCTCTGAGCATACAGAGGAAAGCATACATTGAGCATTTAAAGTCCTGAATTTTGGAGGTGATTGGCAGAGATTTCAATAACTCCCGAAATCTTTTGTAAAGCTGTACGAGTTGAACATCACAATACATAAATAGAGTGAACCTTCAAATATAATTGTTTTAATTTTCGCTGTAATTCAAATACCACTAAGTTTTACATTAGATTAGATTTATTTATTAAAAAATTACCGTAAAAACTGTATTTGATGTATGGGGGAAAATATCATCTGCGCACGTTTTCTTGAGTTCCAGAATCCGTTCCTAACATTTTAACAATAAATAGTTCAAAGATGAGCAAAAGTTTATTTTAAATAAATACAAATAAATTTTTAAAATGCGCGAGATTAGCAATATTTGAAAAAACTGGACATTTTCGTTCCCGAGTTATAGAAAACTTATTTGCATCGGTAAATGAATTGCAGGTATGATTTTTCTGCATTGCTATCAAAATAGTCTCACCCTTATCTCTACTCCTACCATGACAAGCAAAAGGAGAGTTCAACAAAACGTGCGCATAGTGGAGCTACATTTACGTCCAGAAGCAAAACAGGGGCCATCTCAGCATTTACCCAATGGATCTGGAAAACTGGACAAAAATCTGATCGAGATGGGGGTCATTGATCCGGAAGCTGAAGTATATTATTTGTCACAAGCATATTAAGTCTTGTAAAAAATATACAATACAAACGTAAATTAATTCATTACAAATCACCGTTTTGTTAAAATAAACATATTTTTCTTATTGATAATCAGTATAGTCACTAATTGTATAGAAACAGTTTTGAAGTAGAACATACTTTACGTTTAACTTAAATTTGTGAACCGACTTCAATTGTTTAATATCATCTGGCAATGCGTTGTAAAGTACATGTATTGTATGTGGATTTCTGATAGTCCACTGTTGATACTGACACTTGATGAACGTGATTTTTACGACGTGTGTTGTAATTATTAATATCA